AATGTAAACAACGACTAGTACAGCAGTTCAGTGGTGTATATATGTTAACCGTGTATTTGCCGGATGATGGCTCTTGATAGCCGAAACATGTAGCAGAGCCGAAACTAGGCACTGGTCTTGATATTTGTTGTGTTGTGACGGTTATAATAAATATTCTGTATATTGTAACACAACAGGATGCGTGAAATGAAAATCATAATCATAGTCATTCCAGTCCTTAGGTTCTGGTCATGATCTTCAACATTTTCGAAAATATGGTATATTACTTAGGCAATTGACTATCATCAGTAAAATTACTCGCGGTGTTCACTTTGAATGCCCGTCTCAGTCGGGGAGCAGAATACTTTAGGAATCTTGCTCTGTATAGATGTAATTAAACATAACACAGACAAGACTCTTCAGTTTCGGGGGGGGGGGGATTGACTGCCACAACATTCTGGATAAATCATAGGACTATAAAATGGAGCTGGGATAACGTAGTCAGTATAGCGACTAGCTACTGGCTGGACGATCTAGGGTTCGGAGTTCGAATCCCTGTAGGAGCAAGAATTTTTTCTTCTTCACGTCGTCCAGACCGGCCCCGGGGTTCACCCAACCTCCAGTATAATGGGTACCGGGGACTCTTTCTACAAGGGTAAAGCGGCCGGGGCGTGAAGCTGACTTCTCACCTCCAGCTAATGCCGAGGTCAAGAAAATATGGATCTATACATCCACTCCCCCATAGGCATTTATGGAGTAGGGCTAAGTTAGTTATACACAGGGACAATTTTACTTTTACCTTAACAAAGGACTATAAACAAAATAACTAATAAACCTTTAATATTTTATGAGTTCCGAGGAATTTTTGCGTAAACAAACAAAGAACTTTTTCCCCCGACGAATTAGAATAACGGAATAATATCCTGGAAACAGAGTGAGTGGCCAACTTACGATGTGTGACAGTCTAGCCTGGAATAACATTAATCTGGACACTTTTCCTGAAAAATGTGTGATTCTTTGTTGGAAAAGCGTTTATAATTCAGCGATGGTTGTAAGTTCATTATTGCAGAGGAAGTTTTATGCAAACTGTCATAGTCTGACATGTCATGTAGTTCTCGTGTATCTTTTGGGTATGTTACAAGTGAGACAGAATAGGTTTGAATAAAATGCACGCAAAAGAGGATTGACTTCATTTCTAGCTCGGCTTTATTTAATATACGATTTGTTTACCAGGATTAAAATTTTGTCGGTTGTAGAAATATGATTTAATTTTGCGTACACGAGATTTCATTTCCACGACGCTGCCAAACCGACGTAATTTTCCCCGATAATCCCAACTCAGTAGACGAGAAACTGCGACTTCGCAACGTCATAAATTGAAGACTGTGTATTAGTCGTACAAGTCAGCGATTTTGCTACAAATATTTTCAATAATGACACGAAACAGTTACAGCAACCACTTTTAAATGTCATAGATTTCATATAAGAAGATAATTATTTTAATTCACAAATAATTATTAATTGTTGTTTTGACATAAAGTATGAGCCGATTGTCTAGAAAATGTGGGATCCTCAACATCTCACAACGCTATGGGCCTCCACGGCCTGTTACAGGGATACCTTTATTTATTTTATTGACATAAAGGGGGGAAAAAAAGATTGAATATAGCCTATTTCCTACTGCGTTCAGAAGTCAAGCGAATTGATTTTTCGATTTCGACATACGTGGACAGAAAAACACAGCACTTGTAAAATTTAAAATATATTTTGTATTTACATATCGAGAGAGAATACAAACATTCGAAATCCCATATTCTCCTTGTCTTTAAAATGTTTCTATCTATGTTCCAAGGACACTGCTGACAGCATGTGATAAATTCGTCCTGTGAAATTGCTTTCACAACGAGCTCTTTCATATTCAGTTCGTCACTGCTCTCCAGGACCTTTATTGGTGAGGAAACAGACTACTGGAAAGCATTTTCTTTATCAAAGTTTTTCTATACTTAATATTAAAACACTTGATGGAAGAAATATCAATACAATTCAACATAAAGAATATTGTTTGGCTTCTTTCTGCGTTACTGTTACTAATACTGCATCAAATTCCAGAAGATTTTAATATCCATATCCACCGCCCTAAGAACTTCATATCTCACGCAGTAAATAAAAAAAAAAGTAAAGCTATCCCTGTAACAGGTCATGGAGGCTCATAGGGTTGTGAGATGTTGAGGGTCCCACATTTTCTAGACAATCGGCTCATAGATGGCGGTAAGGTTGTCAGCCTTACGCGCCGGCCGCCGTTTACTCCCAAGAATATTCCAAGAATATTCCTGGTACTAATTTCTGTTAGAGGCTGAGTCGACTCAGGGCATAGTGCGGCTGGAAGGATTAAGTCGATTGAAAAAAATCCAATGACCTCATCGGGGCTTGAACCCGCGACCTTCTGGCTTGTAGCATAGTGCCTCAACCAACTACGATTCCGCGTACTTTCTTTAATTTTCACGCCACTGGAGGCTTCGTTATTTTTACTTTCTAGGTGTGCCTTGCTCATTTTAGTATGACTTTTAGGCTTGTAGCAAACCGATGTGTAGTTTATGTACAATATTCATTCATTCATCAATGGCACTACAGCCCTTTGCTGTGTCCCTGGCCTCTTCTTCAGTTTCGTAATCATTTTTACACAGTCGGTAGGACTCCTTGAACGGGGGATCAGCCCATCTCAAGGCCGCTACCTACACACATGAAAACACAAACACAGAATAAACACACACAGACATCCATATCTTTTAGTGGGATTCGAACCCACGATCCCAGCGTCCGACCGAACGGAAGACAGTTGATGCCTTAGACCGCGAGACCACTGTGAGCGGCACAATATTTATATAAAAGTTATTTAATAAAGATTGTCGTAGAAGTCGCTATACCGAGAGTATACCCACGTTCCTAGGAATGTATTATTTACATCGGGTTCACTGTATGGGGCTGCAGATTTGTTTCAACCACACATAACCTGCACAGCAATGTGTAATTCACTAAAGTAGATTACAAGAGTTGTCACACTTGCCTGTGTCTTCCTGGGTTAGAAGCTCCGCATACTGCACTCGCTGATATTGCTTCCCGCCGCCGCTACTGCAGGTTTCAGATTGTTTTCTGCTAGTATTCGTCATCTCTTTCCAATTCTAAAATAAAACATATTAGGGCATATATTTACTTGCATATGGGGGCACGCGGTAGTGTAGTTGATTGAGGCATTATGCTACAGGGTGGAAGGTCGTGGATTCAATTCCCAGTGAGGTCATTGAAATTTTCAATTGACCTGATACTTCCATCCGCACTATGGCCTGGGGATCGACTCAGCCTGTAAAAGAAATGAGTACCAGGAAACTTCCT